CATTTCCATCACATTTCAAGACAGTGAAATGACCAGCATTTGAAATTTGATAAGCATGTGAATCAGTTCTTCTCTTCAAATACAGACACTATCATGATGATGAGTCTTACCTCCAAAATAGATCTTTTTACCCTGTTACAATAGGAATAAAGCTCTTCCTACAAAATATGGAAAATCCTAAAATAGAAATTTTCTATCATCTTAAGGTACATGTATATGTTACATTTTAAAGTGAAAATTTTTAAAGACAATTTTCCATCCATACCTGTCCTTCTGGGGTACAGAACTCTTGGAGTTTTTCTTTTTCCAGCTCATTACAGGAGAACAGAGCCATGAACTCAAAGAACGAGCGCCTGGGAACTGAGTTGATATCTAAGTAATGCTGGACTAGATGTCTCATAGAGCAGGGGAGAGGCAGCTGAGAGGGAAGAGGAACATCTAGAAAACCAAACTTCACTATATAAACACTATACTTGAGGGAAGAATAATTAAAGAGACACTGCTGGGTATGTTAGGGAGAATTATTACATTAGATTATCCACTGAAAACTGGGAAATGTGCTTCTCAGAGGCCTTTGCTTAGTAAAGTGGATGTGGCTTGCAATGTCAACAACTGTACAAAGACTGAGGGCTGGAACATTTCCTTATTTTCAGTCAATAATCTTTATACTACTAATACCAGGGTATTTCACCAGTACCGAAACATTTTCACCTGTTTCTATTTATGAAATCTATCTAAATTTTTGGTCATAAACATCCTTCCAAAATACAGTAAGTAATTCCAGTTCAATGAGTTCAGTGGATATCTGAGACTTCAAATGTACATTTTTGTACTGTCATTAAGAGAGGAGACAGAAAAAATATTTTGATTTCAAGAACACAGGAACAGTTCCCAAATCATTTATAGTGCTGCTAAATATTGCTCTTTTGATGCCCAGGTACCCTCTATAATTCTACTGAGTAAAATATACTGTATATCAAACTAATTTATGAGGAACAGTATTGACAAACTTGGATCATTCTGCTGTAAGGTAAATTTCTGCTGGGGATCTAACTTCATCAGTGTTAGGAACTCTTCCACAGATTCTTCTGAATTCTGGGGTCGTATCATCACTACATCACCAGCTCTGTATCTGTCAACAAGATCAGGTCAATTTACCGTAAGCAACGTAGATCATGAATATAGAAGAAGTGCCTTCTAAGAATATTTATCTCTTAAATTAGATTTCTTTTGATGAAAGTAATACTATATACATGTACCGGTACAAGCAATTTTATAAATCTGATGGTGAGTACCCTTATCCTCTTAGCCTTACTTGATTCCTGATCCCTGAGTGTCCAGCCGAATTAGTCGTACATCCTGCCAGTGATCTGGGGCGGTGATCCGCTCATTGCTGATCAATGAAGCATGAAATGGATGGTTCCTATCATACTGTGATATACCATTGGAAAGGTTTGGAGAAACGGCACCAAGATCTTCCACATCATGAGTAAATCTTACACCATATCTCGGGGGAGGTCTGTAATGTTATAAACTGAGTACTTCCATCAGAAAAAGTACTCATGCACGTAAAATCTATGTGATCTGAGTTATTTAAGATTTTTTTATTCTAGGAATTTTTATGCCAAATTCAAAAATACTTACTTGACATCAGCTGGAATTATTTCTTGACCTTGCTGAAGAGGGTAAAGGTTTAGAACATGTTCCCATAGATCTTTCATCCAAGGATAAATAACTGCATCTGCCCTACATAAAACAAATACATATAACCTGGTACAACTCCTGGGTCAACTGTAAACATATAATTTATCACGTACTGGCGTAGGTAAATTGTGTCTCTGCAAAAGCACCTCATTTTAGTCTAAAACTTGAGTTTTTTCACTAACCAGATAAGTCTTTAATTGAGAAGGAGAACATGGTGGGTGTGCCCACGACAAAGGATTCTTACTCCTGCATGGCACCTGATCCCACCTCTTGTGTCTTTAGAAGACTGTGTCTTAATCTGATTAAAATCAGATCTTTTTGATCTCCTAACATGTCATTGCCAGAAAGAAATTTTTACACACAAAAAACCTCTCACCCTAAATCATGTTGATCATCAGCTAATCCTACAGACTGTATACTCTCTGCTCCCAGCTGGACAAGGCGTCTGTACAACTTCTTTGCTATAAAATTGAACCTGTAGCAAAAAATGATGTTGAAATATTGTCAACTAAAGCATGCTATTAGATGAAAAATAAAAAATTAAAATACGGAAGATTAAACAAAATATCAGTATCAGACTACATTTACTAAAAATATACTAACTTTTGATAAGAAGAATCTCCGAGACCTAACACGGCAAACTTCATCTTTGTCAGTGAATTGGTCGGCAGGTTCTTTCTCAGTATAAATCTCCAAAATACCTGGAAGAAAGGTCTGTATAAAGTATCTCACAGTTCATAATGACAATGTCGAAGAAATAAGTACATACCACAGGCACTTGTCTAAAAAAAAATTAAACCCATAGTACTAATTATAATGTTATTATTACAGTAAAACTCGGTTATAACGAAGTCACTGGGACTTATGAATATACGTCGCTATATCTATTATTCGTAAAATCCATATAAAAAATTTTTTAAATTTATATAGCTGGGGATCCCAGATAACTTCGCTATATCATTTGCAATATCCATGTTCATACTATCCTAGTTTTACTGCAGTACTATGAATTAAATTTATTTCTGAAACAAGTGCCTGTCGTACAGACTTATCCATATCTAGATGTACATATAAATACCCCACCTTCATATTGTCTGGTGGATCCCCCTGTCTGATGTATCTAGATGTACATATAAGTACCTCACCTTCATATTGTCTGGTGGATCCCCCTGTCTGATGTATCTAGATGTACATATAAATACCGGTATCCCACCTTCATATTGTCTGGTGGATCCCCCTGTCTGATGTATCTAGATGTACATATAAATATCCCACCTTCATATTGTCTGGTGGATCCCCCTGTCTGATTTATCTAGATGTACATATAAGTACCTCACCTTCATATTGTCTGGTGGATCCCCCTGTCTGATGTATCTAGATGTACATATAAGTACCTCACCTTCATATTGTCTGGTGGATCCCCCTGTCTGATGTATCTAGATGTACATATAAGTACCTCACCTTCATACTGTCTGGTGAATCCCCCTGTCTGATGTATCTAGATGTACATATGAATATCCCACCTTCATATTGTTTGATGGATCCCCCTGTCTGATGTATCTAGATGTACATATAAGTACCTCACCTTCATACTGTCTGGTGGATCCCCCTGTCTGATGTATCTAGATGTACATATAAGTAGCCTGGTCCCCTGTCTCATTCTTGCCAAGGCAGGAGAGCCAGGTGGATTACATTCTATGCTTTCTTTTGATTGGTCAGAAAAATGCGCGCTAAATCGTGGGTTTTTGAGCCGTTGCCGTTAACCACAGAAATAAATATCGACGTAACAATGACACATTACGTCAATGACGTAGAAAAATACGACGTCACAATGAACGTCTTCGCTGGAAACGCAGCCATTTTCGACATCACAATTGGCTAAGATTCAGGGCAGATTCGCCCTGAATCCATTGTACTCCACCTGGCCCTAGTGACGCGAAGAATACGAAGCAAAACAGGGACAGGGAACCAGGCTAACATATAAGTACCTCACCTTCATATTGTCTGGTGGATCCCCCTGTCCTGTAGTGGCACATACAAACAACACTAGCTCTTCAGTGATGAGGTTTGCCTAGGAGTGGAGTGTCTTATTAAAAATGAAATATGAATATACAGGTAGAATTAGCAAGGTAAATTAAAATATATTTACAATACTATAAAATAACTTGGTTGTGCTAACAAGAGGACGTACCACATTATAATCGTCAAGGGCCATAACTCTGGTAGACAGCAGTCGTCGTTTGGCTTCGCGAGCAAACCTCTCAGCCACGTCCTGAGCTGTTCCTGTCTGGGTTCCATAGAGAATCAAAATTTTCCTGTTGTCCTCCATCTTAAACGTTATAAAGTGATAACTTTTAGATACTGTATACGTGTTCACAATTTGGCGCAATCAATAGATATGGAGTTGTTGGCATAATCATGAATTAGCGCTACACATTTTTGTGTCGTATAATCTATTTATAATTATGAATTCTCATAGTGGTATTCATGAATTAGCGCATCCTTATATGCGCCAACGCTGCTAAATTATTAAGCCCTCTATTTTAAGTACACATTCAGTATTTCAAAGGTATGAATATGTATATACATGTATTTGTAATGGGAGAGGAGAAAAATGTAGGCTAGCATACCCGACCGCTATTCGAACCCAGGCCCCCTGAATCTCCATTCAGGTGCTCTACCAACTGAGCAATCTGACCACTGGCTATCGAACCCGGCTGACCACCACATTAATCCCTCCTTAAAGATATTTGGCCCCTCAAAGATCCCAACCCAGTCTTATCTCTGGCAGGCCTCTCTCCTCTCAGTTCCAGGGCATAGAACAGCACCATGCAAATATAACAGGATAGGAGGAAGATGCAGTGGACCAGACCGGGATTTTAACCTGTGTCACCTGGGCTGATCGCAACATATTTTAATACAATAAGACATATTTCTTAGCAATTACCATAGAAGCAGGGATGATACATAAGGTTATCATAATGTCTTATGTAAACTACTAGCATTTCAAAAGACTCATTCACTCATTGATAAAAAAAAACTCTGTGAAACAACAGATGTAGCAATTACATACGACAAAATAATAATTCCATAGCTGAAAATGTGATATTAAGATAACTCCAATTAATATGAAAGCAAATTACATATTAAAACGTCCCCAAACGATAACCACTACCTGTCACATAATTCTTTTCCTTTCATCCGGAATTTTTAGGATTGGGTTTTTGCTACTACGCTATTTCATCTTTGTCTCTAGAACTCTTTTCATAACAATTATTCCGTCGAATTAGATTAAAGCTTTTGCCTTACACAGATGCAAAATAAAAAGAGAAAAAGAAAGTAGGTTGATTTTTTTGGGCCATTTGACTTTTCCTAAAATTCTATAAAATTCTATCAACTTAGACATGAAGGACTGATAACAGCTTTATACCTCCTCGGAAGTCATTCAGCGGTAAGATATTTCGAATAGGCCTAGTCAGATCATAACAAAGATGAGAATACAGAAACCCCAGAAGGTATCTAGTCCTATCCACGATTCAAAAATGAAGAATCGAATAATTCAGAAAATATGATCACATGTCCCTCGACATCTCACCCCAGTGTCACACAAACTGACTTTGTCTGGGTTTCTTGCCCGACTTCGACCGCAAAGGTTTAAATACAACAAGATAAAAAGTTGATTTTTCATAAAAGTATCCCGTTCATTTAAAAAAAAATATGTTTCCGCTTTCCCGACCGACCCTAATTTATAGTGCCGACCCTAAAATTTTTTTTAATGCTTTTGTCCCATGAAGTGCAAGATTTTAAATAAATATTATCTTATCTTATCTATCTTATCTTACCCAGGGAATTATAACCTTTTTCTATCACATATAAAAATCGAAAGTAGCACACGATTTTTAAAAAAACAAAAAACAACTTACTTGAGAAAAGTTACACAAATTAGCGCAAATAATGTCCAACTTAAATGCTAAAAAGAGTGTTTTCAATGAAGAAGTCTTCCAATGGCACTCGGAAGGCCTCGGGTACTACCCTATTGTCATCGGGGTGAGTTATCTTTTCTTGGGCGTAGAGATTCACACTGTGCAGAAAGCTGGGGTTTTATAAAAGCTATTTACGATGGATATATCTGGAATATTTTAGCCTTAGTTCTTTCAGGATTTGTGTATCTATAAGTTGTCTTTTTTTAAAAATCGTGTGCTACTTTCGATTCTTCCCTGTGTATTTTTATATGTGAAGTAGAGAACAGAGTGGATAAGATGCCCCTGTGCTCCAACTTTGCAAGCTTTTCAAGACAGAAAGAAGTTTGAGTCACCTTTCTATTATAAGTTTAAGTCACAGAAATGCTTATAAACACCATTTCTTTTGTCATTAATGTTACTTCTATACACATTATGATGAAAGAAGTAAAAAAAAAATTTCAGAAAAAAAAAATTTGCCTACCTACCTACCCTATATTTTTTCAGCCTGAAAGCGGAAACAAACATATTTTTTTCCTAGGCCTAAACATCTGATGCTGAAGGTTCAGCGATAGTCTGTTTCAAATACTTCCTACTATGGTTCATTTCTATGGGAAATAGTAATAGAACGAAACATTCAAAGCAAACTATTGCAAATGTAAATTTTTAAAGATGAATACTCAATCGATTATCATGTATAACATAATTTTTGTATTACACATTCTTGTGCTATAAACAGGCATAGGTGTCGGAACCGGGGGGGGGGGGGGGCTTAGCCCCCCCTTTTTTTCCAAATATATACTTAGTATAGACATTGAACATTGTTCTGTAGGTTTAGCCCCCCCACTTTCCACATACACGTCGCAGGATAGTGTAAAATTGGGGAAAGTGGTGTTTTTTGGAAAAAAAATTTGGTACTTGAAGTTCGAACCTAACCACTAACCCCCCCCCCCCCCCCCCCCCAGAAATAGGATTTTCGTTTTTGGTAAATTTCCTTTTTTTTTTTTTTTTTTTTTTTTTTTTTGCTTGTCAGGTTTTCTTTGAAGGTATAATTTTTTTTTTACACTTAGCCCCCCCACTTTCAATTTCCTTCCGACGCCAATGACAGGTGAACCTTATAGACCTTCAGATTCACTGCCATGTGTAACGGTGTCAATAATGAATACAATTTTTAAAGCTGGAGGTTTATATTGTAATTAATTGATAAATTGAAAGAGGTAAAACTCATACTTTAATTTTTAGGTTTTCTGACTGATAATGGCCAGAAAAGGACTGTAACCCTGCTTTGAATCTGATAGAAAGAAGAAAAACCTGTCATGTACTGAAGATTAATCCACAGTATTAAAAACATCACAACTTGGAACACCATGCTGTTTAGGCTAGAAGAAATTCTGAAATGGGTTGGAATCACCATTTTTGAAATATGGCTACACCTGGTATCAGTATTTGTGTTTTCCTTCCTAGCTGTCTTTAAATATGAAGGCTTCATTCACTGCAGCTGGTACGAGGCATTTATTCCTCTGTTCATATGTGACGGGCTCTGTGCTTATTTTGTGATCATTGTGTATGTGAGGATGTACCGAGATCGATCGTCAGTTATTCGTCTCTTGTCGTCACTACTCTCCATTGTTTTACTGTTTGTATTTAAAGTGTTACTGTGTCAGAAACTGAACAAGGAGAAGATAATTACGTACTCCGAAGTAATGGTTCCATTATTCGCCCTAGTTGTTATTGTCATGTTCAGATCTTGTCATGTAAATAACTAATGAACTACCAGGGAAAACACTCAATTTGTGTTCTGTAAAATTTAATTTACTAAATTGTCATTCCATTATCATGATTATTGTAGATGGACATTTAAATTCTCTTTAAGTTAGTGTTTACTTGATAAGAAGTATATGTCCATTATCTCTCTTTCTTTGATATATTTCCATAGTCATTGAATATAGATGTTTGAATTGTTGTATTTTGTTTAAACTTTATTTATTGTCTTTAAATTCATTTTTCACTAAATGCTTTCATTCTCTTTTGCATCAATGAGTGTATTAAAAATTTGCTCACTTTAATACATTGTATACAGATATTTTCTTCAGAGGGGATCAGGTTCCCTAAGATTGCTAGGTTACTTTGGTTACAGTATGTGTTATTGTTATGGTTGCAACTATTGTTAAAAAATAAATGTAGCCTGTATAAGCAGGTCATTTATTTTTTTCTGCAATCATCAAGTGCTATATTTCCAAAGAAAGCCTTTAAGTGCTTATTGTTATGCATGTATCAATAGGCATAACCATATAAAGGAGATTTAAGAATATTTCTGTGCTGTTGCAATCGAATTAAAATAAGATCTTTGATCTGCTCAAGTTAGATAGCTACTTTGTGCAGCATTTTAATTGGAGCTGGTCATAGAACTAATTTTAACTACCAGGTAGATTGATATTGTTGATCTTTATGAGTGGTATGTTTTATTATTTCATTTCTCTCACACAGGACCAGGTGGTCTTAAAAAACTGATTGTAACTAGTTTAGCATTTATATTATCAGGAGTGGTTTTCATAAAATGAAGAAAAAAAAATTTAGTGAATGTAAATAAAATTATGAAATTATAATTATTGCCTATGAATGAGTGTCTGCACCGAACTTGATGCTACGTAAAGGGATTCAAGGTAACAGGAAAGTTCAAGGTCAGATTTTTTTATGCAGTTGAAAAGCAATGTATTTATATGAAGTTTGATTATAATATCTTGAATAGTTTTGTTAAAACTGAGAAAAATGCTAATTCAAGAAAAGCAAGGTCAGAGGAAAGGTCAAGGTCAAGAAATGTTGATGAAGTTGTAAAGATTACATCAGTATGTATTGGCATATTAAGTTTGATAAAAACATTTTGAATGATTTTTTTAAAACTGAGTTTAACATAAATTTATTTTGTTGCATTTGAATACCTTTCTTCACAATGTATCAGCATATGAAGTTTGAAAACACAATCTTGAGTGTTTTTTTTATTTAATAGAGCTAAACAAGGTAAAAGAAAAGGTCAAAGTCAACCAGAAGTCACTTTCGAGACTGCAGCTTTACGGCTTTGTACTTATAACAGAGGAAGAAAAAAGAAGCCATTGCCATCAGAAAAAAACTGTAGGAAGAGTAGCGTTTTAAAAGAATTTCACAGAAATTTCTATTTTTAGTAACCATGGCAACGTCGTTCATCGAAATCAAAAACCCATGAACTATATTATGTATCTTAGTGTAGCCTACAGTGTACTTGTGTGCCAAGTTATATTGAAATCAGACCAAAAAACGTTATAAAGGAATTTGTAATAGAAGAAATCAAAAACCGATGCGCTATATTATGTTTTAAAGGCAGATTAAAATTTCGTTTTAAAGGCATTTCACAGAAATTTCTATTTTAGTCACCATATCAACACCGCTCATCGAAATCAAAAACCGATGCACTATATTATGTATCTTAGTGTAGTCTACTTGAGTACCAAGTTATATTGAAATCAGACCAAAACTGTAGGAGGAGTACATGTAGCATTTTGAAAAATTGTTTACAGACAGACGGACAGCTAAACAGACGGACGGACACCTTACTAACGTACTCGCGTAAGCTTGTCTGATCTCTGACCATTAGATTTAAAAAAAATGATGCAATGGAATCGCTCTTTTCATTATGCATCAGCAAGAAGTATGATAAAAATGTATTAAATAGTTTCTTGGAAACTGGACCACAGGCGTACAGTGTATATAGTAGAAAACTAGAGTACTGTATGAAACAAGCGCCTGTGAACTGGACTAAAAGCTCTCCTTCTTATACCCCCCTTCTACCCCAGCTCTAATTATCAAAATTGACTTGCTACTGTATTTGCAAATGTTTCTATAAGCTGTTATTTTAGAGAATATTTTGAAATTTTGTTTATAGTCGATTTACTTTGAGGGATAAATTAGGGTTGTAAATCTAACCCCTCTCCCATATCCCTCGTCCGATGACCAAGAAATAATTTTTATTTGAAAAACTAAAGATACTTTATATGCAATTTGTGAAAAGTTAAAAGCCACGCCAATTCAATTTCTTGTTCGTCGGACATCTGATGGAAAAGTGCTGGCGTGCTAGCGATTACACTGAAAGAAAAACCTAGTGAATTTAACTAGTGTGTTTCGTGAAGCATTGGTCGTGATTAGTAAACTTTCAGTTTACTGGTTAAGATAGTATGTTGTGGAGCGGGGGGTCGTATAGATACTTAGATACCTAGTGAAAGTTACTCTTCAATTCTAAATTTACTAATCTTATCTAGTAAATATACCAATACCTGGTAAAACTACTATGAAGGTAGTGATTGTATGGACAGTGAATCTACTAGTTTTCTTCGTGACATTAACTAGTTATTTTTTTTTACAATGTAAGTAATAATTCATTACTTTTGGTGAGCAAATTCTTTAGGCAGAAAATGGAAAAAAAAATTTGGAGGACAATATTTAAAAAAAAAAAATTTCTGGTTGTACAGTAAACAGATTTCAAATACGAAAAAAGAGCGGGAAATTAACATTGGCGTCGGAGGCAAATTCAAAGAGGGGGGGGGGGGCTAATTAAAAGTTTCTTTGTGGGGGGTTTAGAATCGAACTTCTTACAGAACTAATTTTTTTTCAAACACTACCACTTACCCTTATTCGACTACTGCAACGTGTCTGTTGAAAGTAGGGGGGGGGGGTCGTAGCCCCCCCATGTTCATAACTTACGTCTATCTTTGCAAAAAAGAAATTGGGGCTAACATCCCCAACCCCGGTTCCGAAGCCTACTATTAAAATTAATATCATAATAGTTTATTTTACTTTTGTTTAAATACGAGCGCACGGGTCCGACTTCCAAAAATTACTATAGATGTGGCCAAAGTAATCTATATTGTTCTACTTTATATTCAACGAGCATCCCTTATTCGTATCCTGAATCGTTTTATATATATCATATGAGGACAAAAAACAATATTCACACAAAATATTAATAATTTATGTACACAGAGGTCATTTTATGTTACACATGATTGTGATTACAATGAATTCGTGTTTTATTGCACATAACCAGCCTGTTTCTTTGAGCCTTTTATTAGGATCATATAACAGTTTCGTTCGAAACGAACTAGAATTTGGATGAGATCATTATAAGGTATTTGGTATGAAGTCATCATTCACACAGATTTTCTCTCCTCTCGAATGTTCAGTCTTGTGAATGCCGAATCTTTGCTTCCTATCAGATCCAATTTTTGGCTGTGTTGAGAATTCCCTGTTGGGTCCGGTACTCTGTCTTCCATGGAAAGGTTGACGAACCTGGGAGTATGTGGTACTGGTACTGCCTGGAACGGAGAAAATACAGGAAAGCTCGTCTGTTTTAGAAAACTAAACCTTTGGTTTCTTCTCCACTTTGCTCGTCTGTTTGAAAACCAAACCTGTAACATGGAGATAAAAGTAAGAACTGAGTAAGATTGGTGAGGCAAGTACAGAAGATTTATGAATGAAAATGCAAAACAAAGAAAAGAAGGATTCATTTAAAATTATAGTACTTCATATAGAGCATTTTCCACCCAATTTACCTCCATATCTACCCACACGCACCCGACGTATACATTTAAATGTCGATTGTGTACCCCCCCCCCTCTTAAATTGATGATATGTTAAAGAAACGGCAAATCAAATCTACAAAAGTCCTTATTTGTTAAAAATGACTTCAAGAACTGAAAAGATACCCTTTTATAACCCCCCAAAATCTCACCCTGAAGAGGGAATATATGCGAGAAAATCGATAACGCGACATAAACGCTAAAAGGGCTCCAAAGCTTGTCGTGACACGGGGTCTCGCGTTTACTTAAAAGTATATCTCTTAGTGAAGGAATAGCTACTACCGTTTTAAGTATTGACTTTGGTCAGTCACGGCCAGAGTTGTAACCCACAATCTTGCGATTACGGAGCAAGCAGATCGAGTAGCTCCTGGAGTTAAGCTTTGCTCTTTTTTTTAGAGGGGGGAGGAAAGTCTCAGAATTTTACAGTAATGTCATGAAGGGCATATTGGTAATTGACCAAATCTTGATCACCTGAACTCTTGCCTCTGATAGATTAGTTCTGGTTGCGAGCTCCTCTCTGGTTTGAACCCCCGGGTAATGGGCTTTCTGGAATGACCGTTCTAGAAGATCGAGCTGCTCAGAACTGAAGGTAGTCCTGTTTCGTCGGAGTTTGGAAATGGAGGTTCCAGATTCTTCGTCTTTTGAAGTGCATGTATCTGTAATTTTAAGAAAATAAAAATGTCAATCTTCCAGAACCGTTACATGGTTTTAGACATCGGAAATGCTGTCTGGTGGTCAGAGCAAAGGGCGCTAAAATGACAAGACTGGAGACATGCATGGCCTACAACTGGGCACATGTGACCTTAATATTTGACTGGGTATGTTACCAGAAATGGCTGCGCCCTTACCATTTGTCCGGAGACGTTACATTCTCACGAACTAATGTAGAAGTTAACAGAAATGTCTATGTTCTTACCATTTGACCTGGTCTCGATATCCTCTTCTTCCTCTTGCTGACTTTGGAATTCATTTGAAGCTTTGAATACTGTCGTGTGGTCCAGTGAATTCTGTGGTTGTCTATAATGGGTCGGGGGATCCGAAAGGGGAAACATTGAGCCCCACAGTGGCAGGGCAGGGGGTGGAAACGGGTAGAGAGAAGAATTAAACATTCTAGCATAAGCCATCGCTGTTTTGTCTGCTGCCCTGTTCCTGAGAATTCTGTTGATGGAGCTGACACTGGGTAGATTACTCTGTGTACAAACACCTGTGTGAAAAGTGATACCCTAAATATATACATCACCTTTAGGAGTAGTTTATAATACTAGATAAAGGGGAATCATATTGATCTGACAGTTTTTTTTTTTACATTTTCAAATCATTTTTACAGAGGCAGCTCCCTTAGTCCAGGGTTTCTGGTCCCCTCCGCTATCTATGTGTTTCAGAAACTCTCGATTTTTGGGAGAAGATACAGAGGATGTATTCTTGCATAACGACCTTAAAAGAGAATCCAACTTAAGAATTTTAAAAATGTACCCGTGCTTTTAATTAAAAATGTTATGAAATTACGAGATTAACCTTCTTTGAGTAGTTTTTCTTTGATCTCCCATGCAAAAATTGTCGGGTTTGCATTCTTATATTCCTCGATCTTCATCACTACAGTGGGCGTGGCAACTTTGGGTTTACTTCCGCCTATTGTACTTCTTCTATTGGACAGGATAGGCTCAACATACGGGGCTAGAAAAGAGCAGTTTTTTTCTGTATTTCTAAATTTATTTCAATTAATGGATTAATTCTTGAATATAATTTTATTATATAGATATTGCATGTAGTTGAGCAGCCGCGGTTGACAATGGTTTTCGAGGGGTGAAAATTTTCAATGTTACTCTCAACTACATGCAATATTTATTATATTATACTGCATGTTTTATACAAATACATATAACAGTGAACCGTGCGCGCATAAATTCTGCTCAGTCGCTATTTTTTGGAATATCACCCGTCGTCAAGCACTGTTGACTGTTGCTACGCTGGAGGGCGTGGCTTCATTATTCAGCGGGTAATAGTGTTTTTTTAACAAATGTTTCTCGATCAATCAGATTCAACTAATTTACCTGAAATATAATATTTTAAAATAACAGACACTTTTTATGTAAATTTTACTTCTTTTCTTTATTCTAAATAATGATAATAATAATAATAGATATACAGACATCCTGTTTAAAAAAAAGGAAATCTGATCAAAATACTTCCAGCATTTCTTTTTTTTTTAAATCTGTAGTCATTAAGAGATGTTTTAAGAGTCAAGTTAAAAAAAAATACTGGGTAACATTAATCATGTTTATCAATATTAAGTATTTTAAAAACTGTTTCTTTTGATGAACAATTCTCTGTAGGCATTTTTTCAATCCAAAGTTGAGAAAAATAATGAAGTGATAGAACTTAGTACATGTTAATGTAATATTTGAATTACACTGTATTTAAAATAGCCAATTTTCAAAATATGTTTTAATATCAACTTGAATTTCAATTTCATTCATAATCCCACTTCCTTTAATACAGGTTTTAATTAAAGTGATTTAAAATTCTAGAATAGGACACGCGTCAGTGATATTGCACTGAGATTTGGTAACAGATGCAGACTTTGCCGCAAAAATCAATTGTAGAAGACAGCGATATGCTTTAATGGGCAAACAACCTGTTGTTCGTTAGAATCACTCGAGTTATCAAATTTAACTTTCGCGTGTTTTGATCAATCTGATGTGATTGCATTATAAATGGATATCTTTATTTACTACTCATTAAAATGAAAATACGCATGCATTTTCTTCCCTTTAAAATTGCACGGGTATTCTTTATGCTGTTTATTTGATTCATATGTAATTCCATTTTTCTTCCCGTTTACATAAAATAAGGAGTAAAGTATTTACCCCATATCACTTGATGGGTGATGGAGGGGAGGTTCCTAGGGTCGTAGTACCGGGGACTGGGGGTGGGAGGCAGGGCATACGGGCGGAAAAGGGCAGGTTTTCCAGGTTCTTCGTTTCCGTCTTTCAATGCATCAAGTGAATTTAATGGAAGCCCCGTCATCTATAGAAATAGCAAACACTACAATATAAATATTTAGAAGGATAGAGACAGATTTGTGATTAATTGAAATTAGTTCTTCTTTTAACTATAGAGGAGCAGTTGCTTATTTGGTATTTTTACTGTTTTTTATTTCACAGTATTATTATTTAAAACGTACAACATTTTGCGATATATTCTACTTAGCTTCTTCTTACTCAAATACACCGCTAAATGTCTTCTTTATATAGGGTGATTTTCAGTACCTTCAGAAATGTGCTAAATCAAATATACGATTATTAAACTTGTTGAAAAAACAATTTGTGCTAAATGCTCTAAACGCCAAATTAACTTTTTCAGTGCGCGTTTTTTTAAATGCTGGAATATACCAGCTTACAGCTACAAATTTGGGGAGGGGCAGCTCCCCCCCCCCCGAAAAAAGTAACTACACCAAAATTTAATCTAAGAAAAAGCTACCCCCTGTCCCCACCCAACTGCACTCCAACGTACTTTACATATAGCTAGATTTGTCCCATTTGTCACGTACCTTTTTTGAAAGGAACTTATTAAAAAACATGTTTTACGGGTTACTTAGGTGTTTACTTCCATTGGCATTGGTTATAAAAATAAAATTTGCCATATTTTAAAAGAATGTCATTTTAATCATGAAAGAAAGTTAATTCAAGTATCAAATATTTTTCTCATTAGATGTACCAATTTATCCGCAATACTATGAATGACATCACTTAAAATATTTTGCAGGTCGCAGTTAAATCATCAACAAGATCGAAAATCAGGAAGCGTGATCGTATTTTATCGATCCACTCAATTATTTGTCTTTTGATAATCCAATTACTATAGAAAAATCTGATAGGAAATGGATTTTTTATAACCAAGGCTTTCTTATCAATGCTCATGTCATCGTAATGTTAAAGAAAATTCCCATGAATACAGGTACCTAGTTTAATTAATGCCTTAATTATGTTAATTCTCCTTCCTCTCTCACGCGTAGCATATGGCACGTTCGAAAAAGAGATGCATTTTCGGGTGCATCAGGCATAGGGATGGGTTTAGATGATCGGTACTCTAAACAGTCATGCAAGAGCTACTTCTAAAAGGTAAGCCAGTGATGCGTATCCTCATTTCGTATTTATTGTCAATGAACATGTGGGGAATGAGTTATTTATAATAATTAAGATAATTTCTCTTGAAACAAAGAATACATGCAACAAAAGTTCGAACTTTATTATTAGTTATCGTAGAGTAATACACTGTAGTACATATTATAATAATTCCAGGAAAATAAATATTTTATTGGTATAATATCCAAGATACACAAGTGTATCAATTGCATGGGGAAAAAGGGGGGGGGGGGCTTAAATTCAAATTCTTTATTATATGATATTTGCCTTCAGGGAAAAAATAACCTCAACGAGCACAAAACAAATTTGTATAATCAAAAATTGCCGAAATTAAATATATTAATACTTTTCTATAATTTTCTAACAATGTATTTCAGTTTTGAGTTTTAGTTTGTCTATTTTGCAAGCTATAAAAAGCTTGTAATCTTTTCGTTTGAAACAATTTTAACAAGTCGCGCTGCACTTTTGCTAGATTTATCATTTGGATTTGAATCTAGCAAATTTGATTATAATAAATTGTAATTTTAAAATGGTTTAGAGATATCTGTATGCTTCAAGATTTCAAATTTATAAATCATTTTTTTCGGCGGGGTAACCAAGCACAATTGCACTAATTAACCATATGTGAAACAATCTTTAAAAAAATTAATTCTTAAAACTAAAGAAGATAATAATACAAGATTGGGTGTATATATACCTAATACATGTTCAAACTAAAATTTCACCGATTTCGAACTTGGATAAAATCACTTTTCTATAGTTAAATGACTTTAACATGTATCATCGATTATTTTGATATTTTTGAAACGCGCTTCTTTTAATTGTGTAATTTACAACAAAAGTCGTATCTTAACATAAAGTAATAAAACAAATAGACAGATCTTTACTTTTTGGTTATATAAAATTATCAAAATTAAAAATTTTAAACCTTTAAACTGAAAAAAGATAAGCAAAAAATGATCAATATCAGAGAATTGAAAATTTTTTTTTACACTTTATGACTAAATTGGTGTTAATAAATTTTATTCATATAAGCGAACAAATTAATTTTTATATAAACTCTGTTACAAGGTACATTTATCTTAGATTTATCGATATTTTTAAAACTTAAGAACTACTGTACTTTTATTATTACATTTTTTAAATTCATACAGAAATACATCCATATTTAAAATGAATATATGCACAAATTAAATCAAAAAAAAAAAAAAAAAAAATTTAACCATAATAAATAAACTCAATAAATAATTAAATAAAAGAATTTTATAAAAATCATAAAGCAAAAGGAGCATTATTTTTATAAGATTTCTGGACTACACACTGACTACTCACCCTTTCCGCTTTCGTCCACTTCTGAACAAATTAAAACATTGATTGAAATTCAAATCTACCGCAATGAAATTAATTTAAACAGTCGGCAGGGAATTGCCTCGGCTCAGTTACTGATCAAATGCAAGATATTTGAATGACAATTAGTGATGTGTCGAGTCGCGTCTCCCTTCCTAATGTCTCAATTTTAAATGTAATAAAATGCGCGAAAATTATTAAAACAGGGTTGAAAAAATTAAACGATTTCGACACAAGTGACATTGGTTCGTGTTAATTTTGTAACGGGATAGTTGCCCAAGTTTATATAGCTCGCCTAAGCGTGCACCTGTTGTTCGGGGTCTAAATACGAGATGGATATCATCGGAAGTCCTCAGAATCATCAACGGTTACTCCAGAGTCACAGCCTTAGATGACTGTACCCGCGGGCGGGGACTGGAATTATACTGCATTAGTATTCTAATAAATGCTTATCAGATTTTATTTGTTTAATAACTTTGAGATCTAACGGTAACATTTGTATCAAACGAAAAGTAATTGTTGTTTTATAGTAATCAATAGGCATACAATAAGATACACGAGGTTTACTATTAGAATTAAAGCAGGCTGTTGTATTGAATCACAGTCATACATAAAACAAAATATGTAATTGTATCATATTGTCATATTTATGTACCAAATAATTCAATACGACAGTAGCCTCAATGGTTTGTACACTATACTTATAATATGGCGGATTTTTTTACGGACATTGGACCAATGTTTTCTACATTTTTACATTTCTTTAAATCAAGCCAAAACTGCAATAGGATAAGCAATTAAAAATTCCTTAAAGCCGCTTGGTCCGATTCTAATCGCTAAAAAAAGATATTCGTTTTTCTTCTTGAAAAATAATTGTCCATAAATTATCTCAACTTTTGTCAAATTATATCCCCAAAGTCTTTTTCTTTTTAAAGATATCAAAATTCAAAAGTTAAAAAAATAATTTTTGTTAGGCCACACAAAAAATAATCCTTTGTTTACATTGCGTGAAATCACCTTCGAAAAATTAAATTTATCGCTTACATGTATAACTCATGAAGAACAAACCCGAGCATTTTTCCACAACAAAGTCACACGGGCAATATTCTCCCTCGTTACTAAACTCCCTTTTTAAAGAATCTTTAAAAATATCTGATTTTCCTTTATTCTGTAAATATGCATATTGATTTAAAAATTACTATGGATTAAATTCAGTTAATTTCTTAATTTTTAAAAGATATATCATGACCTAGGATTCTACTAATGGAAAAAAATACTCGGGTTTGAATTCTCTTCATAATTAGATATAACCGATAAAAGTATTTTTTCAAAGGGGACTTCAAAACAGATCTTAACTTCCCGTCAGTTTGTCAACAAGGTTTTTGGTCTATGTTTTCCATGTAAGGATTGTTGTAATAAACTATTAAATCAATCTTATAATTAAATTTTTATATATTATCTATGTAATGACATATTCTTTAAGATAATACCCAGCAGGCACGCAACGTTGTTTCAACGTTGAAAGGAGGTGGAATATAGGTTGCAACGTTGATCAACTATATTTCAACGTTGTTTCAACGTTGATGTTTCAACGTTGAATCCTCAACCTTTTTTCAACGTTGAAACAACGTTGAAGCTGCAACATATTTTCAACGTTGAATGTTCGTCGATATTTCAACGTTGAAACAACGTTGAGGCTGCAACATATTTTCAACGTTGAAGGTTCGTCGATATTTCAACGTTGAAACAACGTTGAAGCTGCAACATATTCTCAACGTTTGATGTTATTTGATATTTCAACGTAGAAACAACGTTGAAAACATATTTTCAATGTGTGATCGTCGATATTCAACGTTGAAACAACGTTGAAAATTCAACATGTTTTCAACGTTGAGTATTTTCTGATTATGTAGAGTTAAAACAAGGTTTAAAAATGCAAAGTTGACTGTCTCTTGATTTCAACGTTGAAACAACGTGGAAGATGCACCATATTTTCAACTTTAGGAAAGTTAGGAAAATTTAACGTTGAAACAACGGGTAACGAGTATTGAGAACTTTAGTTTTTAAGTTCAAAATATAAAGGTGTCTTTAACTTCTAATCCATGCGATTTTTTGCAATATACACACAGCTGTTTCCATTGTTAGAAAATATTATATATATAATAATTATACTTAATAAATGAAACGCATGCATTATAAATTGATTCACTCAAAAGAGTTGTGCCAATAGCTAGTACCATTATAAAATTTTAAATATGAGTTTATATGAAGCATGGCATCTACATTTAACACTTCATTATAATTATGTTTCAAAAAAGGTTTGTTTTTTTTTTAATTAATTAAGTGAATGCTATTTTTTTGACATATTTATGTTAAATATAAGCTTTTAATGAATAATAACATCTTTATCCAACATCTCACTGTAATTCCATGTCAATAAAGAATTAATAAAAATAATTATTCCGAATTAATGTTCTCAAAATTAGACTGATATAGATCCCTGCCGTATACTCTTGCGCAGATTATACGTATACA